GCCACACACAACCACACACGCATGCACAAAAAGCGGAATGTGCCTTTTTGTATGCAGCACCTGCAACATACTGCAACTTCAGCACTGTGGTCAGAGACAGATTGGCTTTTTCAGCAAACTGGAGATAATTCCCTGCTTCCCAAACGGAGAAAGCATATCGCGCCACGCACACAAACACATGCGCGCGAAATGCAAAGTAGAAGTGGTCGCAGCCCGCTCTCACCCCCTTTCCTAACATGGTGTGTCTGCTTTGGACTCACCATTTGGTTAATTGGACAATTACAGCTTCTTTCAGGGACAAAAGACGAAAGAAAGATTCCTACTTTATCTAAGTGGCACATCCTTCACAATCCTCTACTGACGGCTCCATGTTCTCTCACCCTTTCCTAAGCTGCCTGTCTGTGCTCTCCCTCCCATCAATAGTGCTCTCAATCTGATCCCTTCCTTCCATTTTTTTTGTTTGTCTCACTATTCATTGCCATTCTAAATCTAGGGCTGGGCTAATTAAGACTCTCAAACACCCATCAACAAACAAACACTGATGGAGCAGAAGGAAACAAGAGAAAAGAAGCACATAGCTTTTGCACATGCATGTGCACGTGCAAAAACGCACTTGGATCCACTGATAACTCTTCCTCCTATATGCAGTCACATTACAACCAAACAACAACTAAAAGCCAAAACAAATCCTCAGCAAAAATGCCAGCGGAGAGGAGAGAAATTTAACACCACACTACACATGAAACCACATCCCTGGGGACCAACCTAAAAAGTGTACCTGCAATCCACGCTGTCACATTCAGGTTACCGGCTCCACTCAAAACTAAAATTCCCACTTATGTTTGCTGACAGCGGATGGCTAGAGCGAATTCTGAGCTGTTGTTGGGCCTTTTCCAATAGACCCATGGTGTCCCATTTCTCATAAGCTAATTTGAAACAGCATTGTTGTAGTTTGAGGTGTCATCACATCATGTGCGTTAGTGTACTTGTATTGTGGTATTGCATTCTGCATTGTAAGTCATTCTTGCACTTTGCCTTAACTGCACTGAGAACAAAACCAACTGCAGAAGAAGCCTTGCAGAACATGTGCAGGATATTATTATCAGTGTGTAACTGCAATTAATAAAGATAAGGGTTGTTGTTTGTGTGCCAGTGGATTTGCCATTAGTTGCCATCAATCCAAAACCACATCCTAATAAACCAAGGTCTGCGATATGCATTACACAGGTAAATAAAGTGTGTAGGCTTAGCTCACATGATACAGATACTAAGGGGGATGACAGAAGTGCAACAGAGCCAAAGTGTGCATTTTTGTTTCGAGAACAACCTGAAGGAGACACATAGAACCGTAGCCCATGTTGGTCCTTCAACATACTCATCAAATAGCTATAACCAAGAACTAACCCCAGATCTATGCATAAACTAGTCAAAGCCCTGTGCCAGAAAAGAGGATCACAATACAGCTTTAGCATTAGCCCAGAAAGAAAGACAATACACAGAGGGGGGGAAAGAAAAACAATAAATCAAAGAAGTTGTCAGGACAAAGACACAGAAAGCAAAGGACAGAAAGAAAGACACACATTGCGTTTACCGTGCTGTAGTCTTGCCAATGTACAAATCTCGAGAGATGTTGGAGGAAAGGTTAACTCTACTGCGAAATTTAAATATCACTGACATAATAGGGAGAGATTTAAAGAAGCAGAGCCTGTTTACATTCCACACACATGAAAAAAAAGAAACATTTAGCCAACCTTCAGTCCCACTGGTTGCCTGTATCTAACATTCCACCAAAGTATGAAATCACTTGGAGATATTAGTGTAGGATAACAAGAGGATTTATTGGGATAAAACCACTCAGCATGGGATAATGGGACAAAGCCCAGCAGTCATTTGTGAAATATTACGGTGGGCGGGTGATGGGGGTGGAGGATAAAAGGTTGCCAAGTTGTGGGACTAAAGCAAAATTATCAATGATCCCAAAACTTTATTTATTCATTTATTCATTTGGGAGTGGGTGTGATGGTGAGGGTTGGGGTTAACAGAGTAATACATTATGTTTTTAATCAAACTGAGTGCACGCTAAAAATGCTGACCATATAGTCTAACCTCGTGGTAAGGGAAGGGAAGGCTGCTTTATGTGTGTGCGTGAGTGTGTGCGCACATGTATCTGCATATGTGTATAAGTAATAAAGTGTAAAAGGAGCAGACGAAATGAGGTGACGCAGTGGAACATGAGGGTACAGAATTGTGAAACTTTCTGAAAGCAGAAAACAAAGAGCCTTGACGTTATGCAACCATGCTTCCAAAGGCTTTATATGAAGGTGACCTCCACTCATTTGAGCAACAATAATTGTCGAAAAAAAGAAAAGAAACAATGGATACAACACAAGGCAAAATGTTCCATATTAGGCAAACTTATAGGCTGGATCTCTGATGAGCAATACTGGAGAAGACTGTTCTAGATGCTAAGGGCATTCCCACTGAACAGGGAAGTATGTGGTTTGCTACATATCTCTGACTTAGTGTAAGTTGACACATATGAGAAACTATAACACCCAATTGCAAAGGAGTATCACCACTCCCAGCAAACCTATTAGAATCAAAGCAAATTGCATATCATGCCCATTTTAAAACAGAAGTGAAAATGCAGCTTCTTTCCATAGATATTCACAATTTTATAGACATCAAGATCGCATCATATTTTAGCCAATATATAATTTCACCTTAGGAAAGAGGAAAACAAGTAGTGCTAGTGTACTTTAAAAGCATATTTACCCACGGCTGGTTCAAGCATGTTTCCAAATATTGTTTTTTTTCTGCTCTTGGTCCCAAAATGAATGAAGCTAAGGTAGGGAAATATGACATTTTATAAAAAAAAAAAAAAAGCTAAATTAATCAAATGATGATCGCTGTGGAGGAGGCAATTGAGAATTAATTTACCCCATGAGATTTCAGTGCAATAATAAAAAAAAAAAGTCAGTAATCAACAACCCTGAACAAAAATTAAGAAGCCAATATAAAACATTGCTTTCTTCAAAAAAATAAAAATAAAAATCATTGCATTGAAACAATGCACACACAAAAATCACATCACGAGATGAAAAGGGGGGAAAAGTGACTCATGAAACTGCAGAAATTAAGAAAAACAAAAAAGCCACCTATGAGTTTTATATATAAATATTTTTGAAAATAATTAATATGAATATTCATCTGAATATGAAACTTTTATTACTTTTCAGGATAAACATTTTGTGCATGACCTTATAACTGCATCCCATCTGATAAATACCAAAATGAATGAGAACACATTTTTATCGCCCTCCAGTGGACTGAATCCACACTGCTACTTTGGAGGGAGTCACAGGAAATAGATGTGAAAACTCAAAGAGCATCATCCAATCACGTTTTCACTCACCCTCTCAATTACTGTTTATTAGCCTAGATCAGCAATACCCGTTTAGATAATGACAATCGCAGCATGCCTCACATGCCTCTCATATCATCCACTTCAAAAGCCAGCAGCGTTCACTTGACTTGATCTGGTATTTTCCTTCAACTCCAGATTGCATCCAACTAGCACCAACAATGTAGTGGCAAATAAAAATAGTGCACTACTACCATTAAACAGAAGAAGTGACTATCCTTTCCACGAAAGTAATCATAATAATAATAAAAAAGCTCTGTCCCTTTTTATCAACCTTGACTTAAATAAATTTGGTACCACTCCAAAAATATTAGGAAGCTGAGCTCAGATTAAATGTTATTGCCCTCCTCTACGTTCCCTGTCTCTATTATTTCATCCCCAGCAGCATTATCTCACGGTGGCTGACCACAGCTTCAACAGGACACCCAAAAAATAAACACCCTGTCAGCAGCGCTCGACACACAGGTTACCGTGGCATCAACCCTTTCATCATTTGATTGAAGAGTTTGTTTTTATTAAGAAGGCTATACCAGACGCATAATCACTATACATTGATTTAACATTACCTTTACAATTAAATTCTTCACTGAAATTACAGAATAAATATATGCACATTTTTCTTCAAATCTTTGTGAGAGAGAAAACATTAAAAGTGCCTCCTACAAAGCCGTTAGTGGGTGGCGATGGGGAATCCAGAAGCAATGGAGGGGAGGGGTCTTAACAAAGTGTGTGGAAATATCCAGAAAACCTTCGGCATTGTCTTATAATAATATTCACAAATGTTTTACCATCCGTGCGTCAGTGCTTCTTTCTTACGAGAAGCACCCTGATATAGACAGAAGTCCTCATTAATAGTAATAACCATATTAATAAGATATAAAAATTAAATAGAACACTGAACTGTAAATGCGTTGCAGTATCTCTGTTCGTAATGTGATGTGATAGTTCTGAGTAAATCCTCTCACTTCCTGCACTGAAGCGAGTGCATGCAGCAAACTGCAGTTCATTTTAATATATGTTTTTTTTTTTTTTTTTCCCTCTTTCGATCTTTTCCTACAAACTTTATGTGCACGGCCTCCGGGTGTTTGTACATCCTAGTCAGGGGTAAAAGAGACAGAAAGAAAAAAACCCCAAGTCAGGGAGACGTCCAGCTCCCGTGCGTCTTCATGGTAACTGGTAACGCATCATGGTAACTCCGTAAAAACAGATTTTAGTGACAGATGTAGGATGGTTTGTATGTTTTATTCCCCAGTGCCCCTCTTGTTCCTCTTTTGCTCTCTCGTGGGCATATAGAGATATTTATATATTATAAAAATAACGGCTGTTGACATTGCTGGCTACTCTGAAAAAAAGGCACTTAATTGAAATATCTGAGAATGGCCTCTCCTCCAAAGTGATTTGGGGGGGAAACATTGTTGTGACTGTAATATAATATTTTTATTTTATATCATGCTGCTTTTTCAAGTTAATCTTTTAATATTGGATTTGGGTGATTTTGTTTTTGAGGGTGGCAAAGTGAACATGTTGACTTTGTGTTTTGTTTTGTTTTGTTTTTTCTCTCCGTGGGTTAGAGATGCTAAAACCGGTAAGATTTTTCCAAGACTTCGAGGTAATCCGGCTTGGTTTGAAGTTTGGCCCTTAACTCGAGGTAATCGCTTTGGGACGGGTCGGGGTAGCAGCCTTTCCCCGCCGTGAAAAGCAATGTCTCTTTCAGCCGTGCATCCTGCTGCAAATCCGGATACTGCATGCCTGGTGGGTGCGCATGCGCCACATGCATGTCCTTTAGTTTGGGCACTGTCCCATACAAACAGTCTACAAAACCCACGGTTGGCGTGGGCCTCTGACTGTCAATCACTGTAGGGCAGAGCCCTCCATTCTCATGAAACCCTGCCATGTCAGCTGTGGTGTGGTTGACTGTGACGATGGTGTTGAGCTGAGAGTTGGAGACAGCCAGGGTCCACTCTCTTTCTTTCTCTAACAAGGTTCTGTAGTTACTGTTGCTACTGCTTCCATTGTCTTTCTTCTCTGAAAACTGTGCTCGCTCCTCCTCTGCTATCTCCCCCTCTCTGGGCTTATAGATGGGGTTGTTACACATCTGAGTCACAGGGTGGGGGATGTAATCATAAACGTGGCCATGAGCATGTGTGTGACTGGCGTGAGTGTGTGTGTGCATACTGGGCGTCGGTTTCTCTGGCGTGCCAGTGTTCCCAGCACTGCTTTGCCTTGGTGGGTCCTCAAAAATCCTGCATTGCATTTGGATCCCTGTCAGATCGACCTCGGAACGTTTCCGGAAGGGCAGCTTCTTCCTGCGACGCAGAACAAAGGCAAAAAGCCCGGCAGCCACAAACACAGCAGAGATGAAGAGGATGAGGAGGCTGAGGATGAGGACAGACAGTGGGACAGCCCCTCTCCCACCTGCCTCCCCCATGTCAGAGCTCCCTGTGGTGAGGTCATCTCCACCGGGCAGAGCCGGGGAGGGGCCTGAAGAATACTTAAGCTCAGGACAGATGACCTCAACCTCAAGTGAACGCAGGTCCTTCCCAAAAGCGAACTCAGGTGTCTTGCAGATGACATCTCCAACTACAATGACTGAGGAGAGCTTTTCCAGCCACTGTTTGAGGGGGATGATATCGCAGGAGCAGTCCCAGGGGTTCTGATGGAGATCAATCTGGACGATGGAATGCAGATGCTCCAGGACGCCGCGCACAGGCATCGAGAGGAAGTAATTGTTGCGCAGGTTGAGACGTGCAAGGTTGGTGCCAGCAAAGGCATCAGTGGGGAGGGAGCGTAACAGGTTGTCATTAAGGAAAACCAGCTGGAGGTTGGGCATTAGGGAGAAGGAGTTAGGTTGTATCTCACGAATTACATTATACTCAAAGTAAAGATAACTCAACATTTGAAGCCCCCGAAACATCCCGGGGGTGAGTCTCTCAATGTCATTCCCATTGAGATATAAACTTTTCAAGTTTGGTAGGTTGATAAAGGCGCCCTCCTGGACGTAGGATATCCGATTGTTCCCTAAATGTAATAAATCCAAACTTGAGAAGTTCCAGAAATCGGAACGGTAGATTTTCTGTATTAGGTTCCCACTGAGATACAATTTCTTGGCATTGAGGGGCCGTGGCAAAAGCTCTGAAATGTTGTGAAAGCCTTTCTCTTTACAGTTCACTGTTAACCCTAGGTCATTGATGTGGAGGTTGCAAATACATCCAGCTGGACAAATTATTGGAATGGGGGGCCTTGTTTGGTAACCAGCAATAGGGGGCTGGTTGATGCCCGGGTAGATGCTACGAGGGGTTGGGGGGTTCTTTGTGGGCCGAGGTCTTTTGGTGGGCTTGACAACTCTTTCCTTATATTCCACAGAAGAGGCTGTGTTGTGAAAGGAGGAGAGCATGGAGGAAGGTTTAGTAGGCCATGTGTTCTCATTGCTGAACGGAACCCGGGGAATTCCCAGCTTGGCCTCAATCTCTGCATCGGAGAGCAGAGGACAGAGCTCACTGCGCTTGATTTCCCGCAAGTCTTTCCCATGTAAGTGGAATGGGTACTCACATGTGATCTCACCTACCAACGCTGTGTAAGGGATTCTCTCCAGCCACGTTTTTAACTGGACAATCTCACACACACAGTTCCAGGGATTCTCCTCCAGCTGGATTTCCATCAAGCTCCTCCCCACATACTCCAGCGTGCCCTTATACGGCAAAGTCTTTAGTCTGTTTCCTCTCAAGTCCAGATGTGTGAGCGATACAGACCGAAAAAGATAATTTGGGAGCACTGGGATCAGATTGTCATTTAATATGAGCACTCTCAACTTGTGAAGGTGCCTGAATGCACCACTTTCAATCCTTTTGATAACATTGTAGTCTGCCTGGAGATACTCTAAACTGTCCAACCCCAGGAAAGTGTCGTTCCGGAAAACTTCTAGTTTGTTTTCATGCAGAAACAGCCGTTTGAGTATTCCTAAGCCATTGAACGCTCCAGCGTGGATATCTTGCAAGGCGTTATTACCCAGATTAATGGATATGGCATTGTTAAGATGGAGGAAGCTGTTAAAGTAAAGCTTCCTCATGGAGTTTCTCTGCAGGTTGAGCTTGAAGGGCCGGCTCCATATCTGGGAGATCTGGCTGACATTTGTAAATCCTTTACTGTCACAGTGGACGTGGAAGATGCCCTCTTTGACCTCACAGTAGCAGGGCTCGAAGCAGGGCTCGTCAATCTCCTCGGAGTCCTCTAGTAGTGGGATCGGGGTGGTCCATCCTAAGGCTATGGTGCTCAGCAAGGTAACCCACAGCATCCTCGCTGACACCAAGGGGATGAAGTCTTGGCTCCAGGGACAGAGCCACTTCACAGCACTGCAACAGAGAACAGAAGGAGAGAGAGAGTAGAGGGGAGGTTCGGGGAGGGAGGGAGGAAATGGGGGGAGTGATTACACACAGGTACACACACACACACACACACACACACACCCTCACAAAGTGAAGTTTGAGGTGAAAGAGGCAGGCAGAGAGGAGGGAGAAGAGAAAAGGAGAGGAAGGATGCATTAGTTTCAGTAGAATGGAATGCAGCTTTGAAATGAATACCAATGAATAATAGAATGACGTTGGAGACTACTTTGGATTCTGCAATAACGCTGGGTATTTCAAACAAAATATAAGACGGGCACCCTTGGATGAATATGATACCCAACAACACAAACAAATCTCCACACTCAGACAGTTAACTCCACTATATAGGCGGACATGCCATTTATTACGCGGCAGATATGCTGGTAAGGTCGCAATAAATCACCTTAGAGATGCTTATCGCCGTGAATAAAGGAAGGCAACAGTAGGCGGGTGAGGTTAGTGGTGAGGAGACGCTGTCTCCCCGCTGTATTTATTACATAACAGGGACCTCAATCCCTCTTTCGGTAAATGAAGAGTCCAAAAAAAAAAGCGTGGTGGAAATTAGAGTTGGTGCGTCGAAGCTGTGACACGGACAGAGGACGGGGACAGAAGAGGTGTCAGCTTGATGTCCATTAGTGGGTCAAAATGGAGATGGTTGAGAGACTTACTCATCACCTTCCTCGTTAAAACTATTAAAACATATTAATGGACATCAGTTTGTGACTCGTGTAAATGTGACAAAACAAATATGTGGGCCTACATATTATGTAAACATCGCCAGTAGTCCTACAGGTAATGCAAGGCCTGAATGTACCAATGTAAAGATGTCAGATACATGCAGAAAACAAGTGTAAAAGGGGGGAAAAACAGTCCAATAAATCCAGTGATCCCGATGTGCAGAGCCCGAGCTATTTGCCATCGGTGTCGCCCCCCCCCAGCCTCCCCTCCTTGGGTTAAATGCCCCACATCAAAACCCACTGAATAGGGAAACTGTCGACTTATTCGTTGTAATTGAGCCTGTCATTTGCCCAGAATACAATCAATACAACTTCTTCTTGCTTTCCTGATTGCTGATGCCATTTGAGGATTAGAGGAGCAACGGCACAATTGAAAAGCGCAGTGGGCGAAGCTCCTGCTCCGAGAAGCGCAGTCATGAGGCAGCGTTTCAGTACATCCGAGTAGCCTAGAATAAAAATATCAGCATATGTAAAGGAATGAGCCTTGGGGAGGGAGTAATAATAATTCTAAGAATAAATAAAGAATGCTAAAGGTTGCTTTTTCATTTAAAATAGAAAGATAGGCTGATCGAAGATTCAGTATCTCCATGGTGTTATGTGCAAAATATCTCCCTCTCTCTCTCTCTCTCTCTCTCTCTCTCTCTCACACACACACACACACACACACACACACACACACAGACACGAATCTTCTCTGTAGGCTGTGACTTTTCATACGTGCACACAAACTGCTGTCCGTACGAACGAAAGGTGTTGAAAATCCAGAGTTGATGCGCTGGTACCGTCTGCCGGAGCAGAGCCGCTGTCCAGGGTGCTGAAACCAAAAGCCCAGCGCCAGGAAAAAAAGAGCGGAGGGTACCAAAAAATATATGTTGTAATCCCCAAAAAAGACGTGACAAACGCAGCATTATCACAAAAAAAAGTGTTAAAATTTTTTAAAAAATGAATCATCCCTGTACTCGATCTCCTTGCCGCGAAGTTCCCTGTTTTCATCTCCCTCTCCATGCGTAATCCTCCAGGATTGATCGATTCCGCTTCCATGTTGGAGATCAAAAAGCGCAGATGCGATTTCAAAAAAAAAAAAAAAAGTAATAACGACATTTAAAGGAATTGAAAACATTGCGTGCCGTGTTATATTCCCTCGGGGTGTATGGTTATACGTACTTAGTTTAGTGGGATTCCAACTTCACATATCCTCCTGCGATGTGTCCTGTTCTTGCCCGGTGCGTTCCGCTCACCGTCCGATGCCGGGCTGCGAGGGAAGAGAAACATGGGGGGGTTGACCGAGCCGTTATAGAAGAGGAACGGGAGGAGGGAGGGGGGGGGGACAGAAAGTGGGAGAGATGGAAAGAAGAGAGAGCAGCGGCGTTGAGGAAGGGAAAGACGGAGGGAGAGAGAGAGAGAGATGTGAATGAGCCACGGATGAATTAAAAGTGCTGTTCGCGATGAGTGGCGATTCCAACACATTAACAGATTTCAACCTTCAGTTTTTTACCAAAATAAGTTACTGAGAGATTGTGATATTTAATAAGTTCCAGTCTAATCAAAAAAACAAACAAAAAAGGGGTCGAGAATCCGGTTTTGATTTGCTGATTTTTTTTCCCTCTCCCTAAAATAACCTTGCTGTCAATACAGCGAAGAGAGCAGAGCGCTTAGTGAAATACATGCCAAGCATAATGCAGTAGCCTTCCGTCGTGACATTGGCACGAAAATGGTGAAAAAAGAACCGACGGCTATTGATCAGTCGACTGGATCCATCCGATCCGTTATCCCCGATATGCTTGTTGTCCTCTTTTTGAAGTCCATGGCTATGCAGGCACCAAAAAACACACACATCCGTGCACACATCCACATAAGATCCCCCCCGCCATATGATGCACATGCACAGTGAAACAGCCCATAACCACTCACCTTAGTTTCGCACTGCAATTGGAAAGCATCGGGAAAAAAGACCACTAGTTTGAATCTTGTTAGATCTCTCTCTTGCTCGTTCTCTCTTTCCCCCCTCTCTCTTTCTCTCTCTCTCCCTCTCCCTCGCTCTCTCTCTCTCTCTCTCTCTCTCTCTCTCTCTCTCTGTCTTCTTCTTCTTCTCTCACCCTCTCTCAGTGGCTGAGGCAAAAGAGAGGAGAGAGGAGAAATTAAGACGTGATAGGAATGCAATCTCTCCCACTCTCCGGTGACTCTCTCCCCCTCTTCTCGTCTCCGTTTTTTTTTCTTCTTCTCCAGAGCAGTTTGCTTAAAATGCAAGTCCTCGACTTGTGCCCGTCCACTTCCTCCTCTTCCACCCCTTTCCTCCTCCTCCTCCTCCTCCTCCTTCTCCTCCGCCGCCTCCCGGGCGGGCGCTCAACAGCAGTGCAGCCGGGTGAGAGTGTTCTCCCCCTCGGCTTCAGGAGCCCACACTTCTATCGGACGCAGCAGGAGCAGGAGAGTCCGTGGATCATATCGCCGGTTGTTGGGTCAGCTGCTGCTTTCTTCTTTCTTCTTCTT